TGTATCTCATTCAGTTTCCTTAGAATTATCACTCGAAATTCCTTTTCAGTCATTTCAAGGGTTTCTTGTTCTATAGGATCTAGAGCTTGAGATTTATTATCTTTGGGTAGTGTACTTTCTTGGTTTTTTGTATTTCTGGTGTTTTCTTTGATGTTTATTCATTGTGGCAGGGGGTTTCACAGTCCAGAGGTTTGACACTATTGCCTGACTAAGATGTTGCTGGGGTTGCCAATTTGGTATGGCTCCCTCAGTGACTACTCAGTTGGCCTCTAGTGCCTTGTGTGTGTGGTTACCTCGGGTCTTGGGCCTCTCTGGGGAGCCACCTCTCTGGTCAGCTTGGACTCTGCCAGGCTGCTGGGTGACGGGGCGGTACCGCAGGGTGTCGCTCCTGCCGCTGCCGCCGCCGCCGCTCACGCCACTGCTGCCGGCACCACTGCTGCTGGCTCCACCGCCGCTGGCTCTGCTAGATTGTAGGCACAGTCTTTTGATATCTGGAAGTTTCTGAGGCTGGGAAGTCCAAAGTCCATCTGGTGGTGGCGGCAGTGACCCAGGGGTAGTTTCAGAGGCTAAGTCCAAAGTCCAGGGAATACATCTGGTCAAGGCCATGACTATGAAGAAAAGTCCCACGATAGGCCATCTATAAACTGGATGCCGGTAGCGTGGCTCAGTCCAAGTCCAAAGGCCTCAAAACCAGAGAAGGTGATGGTGTCCTTGGTGTAAGTTCTGGAACCCAAAAGCTGAAGAGTCTTGAGCTTTTTACAGTTGAAGGCTTCGCAGTGTCTTCACCCACAGACTCCTAACATCAGTCTTCACCAGAGAGGGCAGCTCCCGGGCGCTGGGGCGGCACTGGCCGCTCGGCCGGGAAGGTGCAGGCTCTTATAAATTATATCTCAATAAAGCTGAGGGCGCCCGGTGCTGGGCCCCTGGGGGTCCTTTCTGATCTTTCAGAGCAGATAAAAACTGGTCAGAGGATAAGGAGTCAGCCAAGTCTACAGAAGGTAGGCAGGGAAGGCAGGAACCGGGAAGGACAAGAGTGGTGGGGGGTGGCCACCCAGCAGAGAGGGCTCCTTGTCCCCGGAGCCGAACACAGGAAAATCAGCTGGCGAGTCAATGGGACTTTGTTAGGACAGTCACAGGGCGCAGCTGGCACTGGCTTAAGGGAAGCGAGGATCCTCCCTTGATAACACGCGGTTTATCTGGCTTCCTGTTGGGACTCCACTGGCTCATTCAAAGTCAATGCTGAGAAGCCTGTGGCCACGTTCGCTCTGCAAATTCGCACGGCTCGCCTGGGTTCTCGCCTCCTGGGCTACCTCTTGTTCTTCCTCCCCTGTAACTGGCTTATCAAGACCTATACTTTAAAAACTCCAAAACCCGTTTGGCGTTGGTGAATAGGCAGAATCAGTTCTTACTCCAAGAGAGCCCTTGGAAGTTGCTTTTTAAAAATAAATCTCTTTTCCTTCCAAGGGTACCTTCTCAGCTCCATACATCATCTTTTCCCTGAGCTGGGGGTTGGTGAGTTCTTTTAGTTTCAGAGGCTGGGAAGTCCAAAGTTCAGGGAGCACATCTGGTGAGGGTCTTCCTTTGTGGTGGCTTTAGCAACACAGGGTATCACGTTGTGAGATGGTAGAAGCAGAGAGGGCGCTACAATCCTTATAAGACAGATTTATCCTGGATGGAGGTGCTTCTCCTCAAAAGATGGCTTGCCTCCATTGAAATGTGGCTAATCCTCAAACAAACCCAAATGTTCGCTGTCTGTGCATGGAAGTCTCATTTGTCTTCATTACATGTGAACATGCAGACCCAGAAAAACAAACGTTTTCTTCCAAATTCTATTTGGGAACTCTTCCAGGCAAGACCCAGGCAATTCTTTAATTCTCTGTCCCTCCTGAAACAAGATCACATCCATTTGCCTTCACTGGGGACTCAGTGCCAACGGCATCAAGAGTTGGGCGTTTTCATGGTCAGGAGTGCAGGTGTATCTTAGTTGAGTCTGCTGCTCAGGATTTCACAAGGCTCAAATCATGTGTAGGTCAAGCTGTGTTTTCATCTGGAAGCTCAACCCGGGAAGGATCCTCTTCCAAGCTTCCTCAGGCTGTCAGCAGAATTCACTTCTTTGCAGCTGTAGAATTCATGGCAGCTTGCATCTTCAAAGCCAGAAGTCTCTGCCACTTGGAGTCTCTCTGATTGTTCCTTTTTAAAAGCCTACTAGTCTCACTTCAGTCCTGTAATATCTTTCATGTGTTATCTCTGAGTGACATTTTTAATTGTAAAGGAAAATTTTTAAAAGTTTTATTTTGTGCTTTGTCTTCTGTTTTATAAGTTCCCCTTTCCATCTGTTTTGGTCTCTCTTTCATGTTAGAGGCTTCCCTGAACTGTCCTGTGATGTTTCACTGTCTATTCATATTTAAGATGAGGTGCTAAAAAGCTGAACACACTGTATATATCAGCAGAGCTTGTCTACTGGTAGATAATTGGATTTGAACTGGCTTTTAGCTGGGGGACATTCAGATGTCAGTATCTTTGAATCTTTTGTCAGGGACCAGTAAATTTCTCCAGAGAAAAATCCTCTGGTTGCCTGACAAAGGGCTATAAGTCTGGCTGCTGGCATTCTGAGAAAGAGCACAGGTTCCAGCAGGGGCTGGGAGTCTCGGAGTTGGGTACGAGGACTTCCGCTTCATCCCCTGCCACCTTTCTCTGCTGTGCCCGAGGCCTCTGCATCTTCTGGTCTCCTGTCTGGTTTTAGTTTCTCCAGAAGGTAAATCACAGGGTCTCCTGTAGATGTTTGGGAGAACAGTCCCTGGCTTCCCCCATGTTAGGCATGAGGACCCAGGGGTGTCTTAATTGCTCCTAAAACAGACTTTAAACGAGTCCCCTTGTTTTCATCCCTATGTTTTGTTGCCATCCTCTGAAGTACATGGTGCCTGCAGTCCCTGAACCTTTCTTGGATTTTGCAGTGTGAATCCACTTGCTCTCATCAGTATCAGGCACTTTGGACACGACTCAGTTTCCTCTAATCTGTTAAATTCCTCATCCACTTCCATCTTCCAACAATTTGTTGACGTCCCTCATCTAGTGTAATCTCCCCTTCCTTCACACTGTGGCTTTATATATTTTATTTAGTGGGGCTTTTGAAAGGGAGCTTAGTAATTTCATAATAGATAACTAAATGTCAGGTTTTCATTTCTTAAGTTTGTTTCTGAAAATGGGGCTCCCACTCCGTTATGAGACTCTGAGAATTATCTTTCCTTGTAAAGGGGGATCTGTATATCACACTCATTTGAGAATCATTGGATTTCGGTGTCTGACATTGTTAAATAGTGCCTAAGCTGATTCATCACCTCCTTTTCTTGCTCTCACTTCATTTGCAGTGAGTGCCAGGGAAGAAGACCTTCCTATTACTTTCTGAGGTTAAGTTGAATCCTTCAGGCTCTGGCTTCTAGCTTAGTCCTAAAGTGGTATACTCATAAATTTCTGAACATCTCCCATGGGTAGATGGTACATGTCAACAGTTACATGGATAACTTAGTCCTCTGTTCTTCTATAAGTTGTTGAACAAACATTGGGATATAATTGCTATAGGCTCTTGATTAGTGCTCAATTTATTTCATATTTAATTGTTTCAGAATAATCTCTTTAGAGATTACTGAGTGAAATTATGGAATCCTTCACTGAAAGTCTTTGAAATTTGGATGAAACCACCAAGATGTTAGGAAGGAAGGAAATTCATGCTGGCTTGGCCCCGGGCAAGGCATTTCCCTGGAAAGAGCAATGAGCTTGAGAGCTTGGGGTCCTACTTGACCTCTGTTCTCCCTGTGCTGCTTCCGTTTTTTTTTTTTTGCTGAGAGAAGTAGACCTGATAGGATGGTTTTGTGTTCAACAGAAAACTCTCAGCAGAGGAAATAGAGCGAAAACGGCAAGAGATGATGGAAAACGCCAAGTGGCGGGAGGAAGAGAGACTGAACATCCTCAGGAGGCATGCTAAGGACGAAGAACGGGAGCAGAGGCTGGAGAAGCTGGACTCCCGGGACGGGAAGTTTATCCAGTGAGTGCATCATCTTCTCGTCTGAGGGCTTTCATGGGGTGGTCTTGGGATGCAGTCTGGTAGCTGGCTCATCGTGTTCCGAGTGTTTCGGCGTCTGTGCAGAGAGAACACGGAGTTCAGCTTCCCAACCACCTCTGTTGTTACTCCCAGCTTCTAGCCAGACGGTGGGATTTTTTTGATTTGAGGGGAGGAGAAGTGAATTGGTATTTTCTAAATCACTGAAACTCCTTGGCCTTCCTTTTAAATAATAATTCATGGCTCTGGAAGCCTTTTTCAAATGAGGCTTTGACTTATTTTCCAAAACAGATAAATTTTCCCTTACGGACACTCATTTAAAAAATTTGGTTCCAGATGGAGTCACTCAAAAGTTATGTATGTGGGCTTAAAAGAACTTGTGTTTCTGCAGCTGCTTTATGGCCAGCAGCCTGTTTCTTCTAATTCTGCCAGATAGTTGACCAACTGAAAAATGCTTTTGACGTCCATTTGCCTGTCTTTTCCTAGCCGCATGAAGCTAGAGAGCGCATCTACTTCCTCCCTGGAGGATCGGGTGAAGCGGAATATCTACTCTCTACAGAGAACCTCGGTAGCTCTGGAGAAGAACTTTACGAAAAGATGAAAACTGCCCTCTCTCTTACTGGTTTTCCTGAGTTTTCCAGGAAGGCTGCTGACCCCTTAAAAATTCTCTTTATAAGAGTTCAAATGACTTCTTCCACAGATGTCAAATGACCACTGTTCAAAGTGACCCTCTTCCACCAATTCCTGAAACAGCTCACTTCCTTGGAGAACAAGTGTGACTTGTTTTTTGGGTCCCTTAGTAACTTTTGCTAGGTGCAGAGTGGGTTTTGTCTGTGTTTTTTAATCAGGGGGCACTGGACGATGCTGGTGTGAGTACTCAGCCTGCTCTGGAAGGCTGCTTGCTCCCTGGGCTTACGATAGGATGCCACCTTTCCTCCCACCTATGTGAACAGACCTATTCCACTGCTTCAGTGTAGACCAGACCTTTCAGAAACCTCTCCCTTCAGAGTCACTCAGATAGATTGTGCTTACTGGGACAAATGAACATTTACTTGATTTAGTAGATAATGTGACAGAATGAAGTTAGGGCAGAGCCAAGGGAGTGACAAAGAATCTGGAAGAGAAAACAATACAAAAAGCCCTAAATGAACTGTTAACTATTTTGTCTTTAGAACTATAAAAGCATAGTGTGTATATGTACAAATGTATAATTTTTACATGCTTTTTTTAAAGTTAGCTTTGTGAGAATATCTTGTTTGGTCAGTGACTTTACTGTGTAATAGAACCCTATCAAACTTTGTTATTGAGTAATAAAATAAGTCAGGTGAACTCATTTTTCTCTCTGAATCCAGTGGGTGTAGGAGGAACCTGGGTTTACTGATAGGGTCTGGGGTAGCTATCCTCCTCCACTGCTGTCTCCAGTGTAGGCAGTGCAGTTGTGTAGTCAAATAATTTCAGCAATCAGGATCAAATTGCCAATATGCTCCTTGGCTCCTAAAAGAAAATAAAATGGAAGCTGTTTATTTCATGGCTTTTTTTAATGATGTGTAATAACCACACTACAATTCTAGATTTTCAGGAGTTGCTTGTTATTTAAAAAAAAAAAAAAGTGACACTCAAGGGGCCATCTCCTGTCTTTGCTCCTTTTATCTATTCTTTGGCCAGGGCCGGCCAGTTAACTCAGATGGTTAGAGTTCGGTGTTATAACCCCCAGGCCAATAGTTTGGATCCCACCCGCCAGCCTCCAAAGAAAAAAAAAAACAACAGGCATCTCTATTCAACATGCATCTCTATTCTTTGACCAGAAGCCCCCATTTGACCAGTGAACTCCTAGGCACTCTTGACTCACTGTTCCCTTGTTCTGCTAATTCCTATCCTGCTTAAAACCTTTTTGGATTTATATTTTTTAGCATCTAACAACAGGCATCTCTATTCTTTGACCAGAAGCCCCCATTTGACCAGTGAACTCCTAGGCACTCTTGACTCACTGTTTCCTTGTTCTGCTAATTCCTATCCTGCTTAAAACCTTTTTGGATTTATATTTTTTAGCATCTATGATGCCAGGCACTGTAATGCTTAAAACCCAGTCTTTCCCCAAATAGAATGTAACATACCCTCGTTATTCATTTAATTACCTTATCCTGCTCCCCTATGCTAGAGTTAATTATGTTTTTTATTTTATTACTTGATAATATAGGCTATATCTATTTTTGTAATTGTTTAACGAGCTACCACGAACGGAGTACCGAGTTTGGGAACTCCCATACATAAAGAACAGTGTTGACCGTGATTTGTGTCGACTACATGGAGATCCTTCGAGAGTAATTATGTAAGAAAGCGTGAGCAGTTTACGCAAAGATTTCATGAAGTGAGCCAGAGACTGAGACGATTACTAGGATAGGTGTCTGCAGATGCTGGCCGTCACCTAACTGGACCTTTTGGCGGGAGGAGGCCAGGAGGCAGGTGGGTGGGCGCGGGGCCCATTCATAAACCCAGGGTTCCCGGCCTGCTCCTCTCATTGGCCCTGGGGGAAGGGGCGTTCCCCGCGGGTGGAGCTCGCCGTCGGCCCAGGGGAGTGGGAAGAGCCACGCTCGTGGGGAGCGAGGGAGCGTTCCTGGGTCTTCCAGGCCGGACTTCCCCTTCCCCTTGCTGCGTTCCTCCTCTCTACCCCGGGAGGGAATGGTACGTCCCACCCTCCTCCCCTCCCGGAGCTGTGGCGCCGCCGCCATCTTGGCACTTCAGGTTGAGGGGAAGAGCCAACCCTGGCTTGGGGGGACCAGAACAGGGAGACCGTCCCGCGGTACACAGCGACACCTGACCGTCCTTCCTCCCCTCCCCGCCCCGGGGCGAGGCTCTGAGGCGTGCGGAGGCCGGCCCGGTTCCTGTCAGGCCCGGGGAGGAGGGGCGGGCGGGGGGCCGCTGCCTCCCCGGGACGGGCGGTACCACCCAGGCGGGGAGGAGAGGGCCCGGTGACGGCTGGGCGGTGGCAGCGCCCGGGGGCGGGGTGCGGAGCGGGCCGGCCGGCT